GGAGAGGGGGGCAGAGATGTGACCGGCAAGTAAAGCCGGAGCTATGAATGGGCAAGAGGAGAGGGGGGCAGAGATGTGACTGGGAAGTACAGCCGGAGCTATGAATGGGCAAGAGGAGAGGGGGGCAGAGATGTGACCGGGAAGTACAGCCGGAGCTATGAATGGGCAAGAGGAGAGGGGGGCAGAGATGTGACCGGGAAGTACAGCCGGAGCTATGAATGGGCAAGAGGAAAGGGGGCAGAGATGTGACTGGGAAGTACAGCCGGAGCTATGAATGGGCAAGAGGAGAGGGGGGCAGAGATGTGACCGGCAAGTACAGCCGGAGCTGTGAATGGGCAAGAGGAGAGGGGGGCAGAGATGTGACTGGGAAGTGCAGCCGGAGCTATGAATGGGCAAGAGGAAAGTGGGGCAGAGATGTGACCGGCAAGTACAGCCGGAGATGTGAATGGGCAAGAGGAGAGGGGGGCAGAGATGTGACCAGGAAGTACAGCCGGAGATGTGAATGGGCAAGCAGCCGGAGCTATGAATGGGCAAGAGGAAAGTGGGGCAGAGATGTGACCGGCAAGTACAGCCGGAGATGTGAATGGGCAAGAGGAGAGGGGGGCAGAGATGTGACCAGGAAGTACAGCCGGAGATGTGAATGGGCAAGAGGAGAGGGGGGCAGAGATGTGACCAGGAAGTACAGCCGGAGATGTGAATGGGCAAGAGGAGAGGGGGGCAGAGATGTGACCAGGAAGTCCTCCACAGGAAGGTGTGGCTGCTTTACACCTATGGAGGTAATCCTGTCCAGAGTTGGGCCTCATGTGTAGAAGTATAGGCAGGCCTGGACTGGTAGTAAGGCAGCTCAGGCCTTTGCCAGGGAACCTAGTATGTCAGAGTATATGAGGGTTCTGTAAGTTGTTCTGGGCTACTCACTGTTATGTTTTATTAAATAGCAATTCCAGGTAACACGTGAAACCAAACAGTGAGCTACTAATTCTACCCAGCAAACACTGCAGCTATGCTAACTTCACAAATCAATGCTGTTTACCTTAATGTGGGTTGAGAACCGCACAGGTTTACTATCAGTACATTTTCTGAAGCCTGTGCTGTGTGTTGTGCTCTCTCACTGCGTCCTGTACCACCAGTCACATTCACTTTGAGTGGTGCTTGTGAGCAGGCAGGCTGCAGTGGGTGTGTTTGAGAATGAATCATGTGATTACTGACCAGGGATTTGGTTGGGCAGTGCAGTAGAGCAATGCCTGCGGTCAAGTCCGGAGTACTGAGCAGGTTGGCTGTACGCATTTCAAGGCATCATTGGAGCATATCTCCACCCTATGTACATGATACCACCAACCTGCAAATATTGTATTTACTATATAACAGGGGTAGGCACTTCAATTGTGGTGGAACTACAAAAGCCATCATGCCTTTGGGAGTCATGCCTGTGGCTGTCAGTCTTGCACTGCCTCATGGGACTTGTAGTTCCACCACAGCTGGAGGTTGCCTACCCGTGGGCCCCATACCATAGGCCTGCAGGGAAAGACAGCGAGGACATACCACAAGTGATGTTTTGTAGAATGTGTGTCTGATGTGTATCATGTGACCTGTCTGCGTATGTCTATGTGCCATCGACTGAAGAGTCTAGTGTACATCCCCGGAGGGATTAAAACATGATAGGGATGTGAGGGAGTGGTCGGGCACATTTCACACTCAGTGATTCTCTACCACGGAAATCCAGAACAGCTTTCAGGAATTCCTGGAGACATATGATGATTGGTGGTGATGGTGATGATGATGATGATGGTGGTGGATGGATAGTCATAGTACATAGTCCATTAGCATTGGATTAGCTGCATTACTGCTTTGGTATTTCAGTTGAAAGTCATTAGTTTCTTCATATAGGGTCCCTCGTTCTTGTCTACACTAGAATTACACATGTGCTGAGCTGATCAATCTCTTGCTGCATACTCTAGACTTGGCTATGATAGGCAGGACTACTGGCAGATTCATGGGGAAAGTGCCCATTCTATAAATCCTGCCATAGCACTTCATCCTGACTCTTCTTCCTGATCACTGGATGGATTGTATGCTGATACCACAGGTTTATAGTACTGGGACCAGTCCTTCTGAATGGATATGATCACCCAACGGCTAATCCTTAGAATTGGAAGCAGTGCTTCTCCCTGCTCAGTCACCTGCTAGTATTGCTTATGATGTGGCAGCATTACAAGTACATCAAAGACAAACAACGGCTTATAGTACACAGCATTGGAATGTATTGTTGTGGACAGGAAAATCTAGATAATATAGATGAGCTGGACATCAAATTGGATGAATTGGTGTTCATGGTGAAAGCTCAAAGAAACATCACAAGGCCATGCTTGCCCTGAGTGAGTGTCTAAACAGAAACTGGGTTATCAGCCAATACAACCACAGTGTCTGAATTTGATGACTGTTAACTTCAAGCTGGTTATACACGGTTAGAAAATCCTACAAAAAACATCATCAGAACATTCGATAATGCCATCAGAGGCTTGACGAGTGCCGCCTAACATTTTGTTTGATTCTAACATTGGATTTTAGAATGAATGGAGGTTCTTGAATGAAAACCACATTCACTGTTAGAATTTTGTTTGTTCTAGAAAAGTTTTCCATCCTGCACCTTCAATTGTGTTCATCACTATGGCTGAAAACACTCATCAATATGACCCCAGTAATTGTTAGAAAATCGAAGGAACATTCTTAAGACAACCATTTTCAAAGAAAGTTCTAACCGTGTGTTTCCAGCTTTAGTGAAGGACATGTCAGTGTGTTTTCAATGAAAGGATGAAAGGATAGAACATAAAACTAGAAGTGTGTGTGGTGATCTTTGTCTAGTTTGTAGATAAGACTAACAGCTCTACACTTTAATGGATTACCAGGTTAGCCTTGGAACACTACGTGCGTGGTTGTGAGTGTGACCCTGAGGACACTTTACATATCATCCCAGGACTGTACTGGTTACTTCACACCCTTCATAGAGCACTGCAAGGCTTTTATTGTGGTGGTGTACCTATAAGGCCTCATTCATATGTGGCTAACACGGGGCGTATGCGCGCCCGTAACGGGACAGGTGCTGCGTGTGATTGCGCGCAGCAGCCTGTTCTTTCCCATGGGAGGACGCGGTTGTATAATGTCATCGGCGCATCCTTAGAGATCCATGGGTCAATCACGACGTCCAACGTTGTCCACCATGAAGATGACCTGACAAAATAGAAAAAAAAAAAACCCCAGACACCGTCCGCAGGCAACAAGCTCCCGTCCCAGAATAAGGAATCTGACAAATGCTGAAAAATATAAACAATTTGGTGGAGCTAGTGGTGCCATCACTACTAACTCTGCCTAACTGTTTACATTAGTCAGCACCTATCAGAGTCTACCTGCAGATAGCGGACAAATAAAAAAAAATGGGCGGAGTCGGTAGTGCTGTCACGGCCACCTCCTGGTTGTTGTCATTTAATGACAGCCCAGCGTCCCCGGGTCATTTAAGGACACTGGGCTGTCATTGAATGAAAACAACTGGGTGGAGCCAGCGGTGACATCACGACTGGCTCCGCCCGGTTGTCATTTGCAGGGAAAACTGTCTGCTTCGGCTGTGACTACGGCTCAGCCGAGCCGAAGCATATGCGAACGGCCTGGCTCCTGGCGAAGTGAGGTGAAGGATCACCCGAAGCTACGGCTGGATAATTTGGCTCCTTTGTGAATAACACCGGAAAACGTTTAAACATCAAGGAGCAGCAACAATTGTAAGAGAGTTATTCAGCATTTAAAAATGGCTTAAAGTATAACTACAGCCCAAGTGTTGTTTCCATTTTGGTTAATTGATTGGTTAAATCCATTTTCCATTCTATTAGGGATATTTCTCTTCATATCCTGTCCCATAGCGAGAGCAGCATGTGAAAGAAAATGTCTCCAAAGTAAGGGAAATCACCTCTTAGTTATCTCCAAATCTAGTGTCCCCATTGGGAGATTTCCTCTCCTGGGGGCAGCTCAAAATTTGGGATTTCCTCTCACTTTCACTCTGCGTGACAATGGCCATCAGGACAAATAAAGAAGGCGAACCTCCCTAACAGCAAAAAAAGACGGGACTAGAAACCTGGCAGGAGTTCTAATCCCTCTCAATGATAACAGAGTCTGTTTTTGATATTAGTTTTCTAAACAATTTACGTTGTTTAGAACACCCAACCATAAAATACAATAAATAAGAGTGTTTTTTTCCCTGCACAGGATTGGATGATGGAAGTCAGCAGAGCTTCACCTCATTCACTAGACTAAGGGAAAAGTCCCCTGCATAGTGAAAAGCTTTTTCCTTTAGTGAATCAGCCTCCTTTACTCACCATAACCTACTGTATCTGGTTGGATGTTCTCATTGATCAAGTTATCAGCAGAACACTAAGATGACCTGAAGCAGAAATATTCAGTCTCTTGTGGTGCATTCCCTGACACTATGGATCAGCGTCCCGTGAATCAGAACTGTCATTTGTTCAATCTGACACATCACATCCTGTTGCACCCCCGGGAGAAGTGAACAATGTGGGTTTGTCTAGTTCTAAGACATCAGGCAAGGGGCCACTGTTACTATGACGGGTGACCTGTAATAGGTTTGGTGAACAGGAAAACAAATGGGCGTAATGGACTGTTTATACCAAAACTGATGAGCTCACCAACTAATCATTGATTTTGATGCTACACAGACATACGCAGTGTTTTAGCAATATTCTGTATGGGGCTTTTAGAGAATAATGTATTGGATTTCTGTATAGCTTTGTGACATCCATTGATGAGGACAATCAATCATTCTGTGAATAGATTCCATTAGGGATGTATGGGCCCTTCTTCCATTATTTAGTTGTATATTAAGCAGTGGGTGGGGTGTGCCTGCTAGGACTTGAATCTATTTCAGGTATGCCGTCATTTCTAGGGATCAGCAAGCAAGACTGTAGAATTCCCATAGTGGAGATGTCAAGTATTGGATCATTTTATATGACTTTCTTCCCTTTTTATCTCTTTGTTCCAGAACCTGCAGCAATGTCTACGATTCATGAAATCCTAGGCAAGCTAAAACTGGAAGGAAACGTAAGTAACATGCCGCACAGTGTATTCCATTTTCGATTGTAAAGCTTGCTACTGTGTGTATTGTAAAGCTGAACTCTGGGCACAACATCTTTAATACAAAATATTCCTCTGTAGCCACAAAGGATTTTAAACTCAGTTTGTGTGCACCAAATGCCTTTGCAAACCTTGTAAATGTAGTTGTGGCATTATCAATGTGGTGTATATAGACTGCAGACTGCAGAGCTGTGGGAGGGGCCAGCAGACCCCACCCACTACAGGCTGCCTGCAGAAAACTACAGGAGGGGGCGGAAACGAGACCAGTCATCCTGCACAAGGTGAGAGAGAGCAGCAGTGACCGGTCTTTATTACAGGAAGCTCCTGCACATTGGATTACTCCACAGATCTCGGAGAAATACTTCAGTCTTGGTGAGCTTTGTATGAGACTATATTTGTTTATCCCAGAGTTCAGCATTGTTTCTTTTTATCCACCTAGTCCCCTATTACAGCACTGACTTTATAGCTCCTCCCTACAGCAATCCAGCTCCACCCAGCATGCTCTTGGTACTGTCAGGCCGTCCACCAACTTTGATGCAGAGAAAGATGCTGCAGCCCTGGAAACTGCCATTAAGACTAAAGGTTGGTGCCCCTTTAAAGCTGGTGACACACACTGGGCAGGTAGTGATGTGTGTAGCTCCAGAATAAATGCAATGTGACAAAATAAAAGCATTTCTTTTACTTGAATGTGCATTAGACCGCAAGTTTCTTTGAGATGTGGATCCTGGCTAGGGTGACTCCCCTACTTCTCCCATTCCCCTGCTTTTTCCTTGTCTCTTCTGTGTCCCCTTATCTGTTTTGTTTCATCTCCTCCCACATGGTATATGTTACAATCTGTGGATATGTCTTATTGGAGAATGTTTTTAGTTGTATTTTTGTTTGTTGGGAAAACCAATAAACATTTAATATGAAAAATAAATAAATACCTAAAAGCATTTCTTATACAGGCTGAAAAAATGCAATGCAATGATAATCAGCAGTGGACTTTGCATTTGATTGTAGGTATATGACTGCTAACACATCCTAGGCTTGCTATGGTATTATGGGGCTTGACCATTGTGTGTTATTATATAGACCTGTGACCATGTAGATAATATAATAGAGTTATTAAATGATTTCTCATCTGGTTGATTTTTGCTTGATGCTGACTGAAGTTGACAGAACTCAGCTGGTTCCTTCAAGCTGGTGACCTGCTATTGTGCTGTGTCTGGTTTGCCGTGGTCAGAGTCCAGTGGACTGTGGCCTCCATCCTCTGCAGTTTATTGCATGGACTTTTATCAGATGTCAGGGTTATTCTTCCTACAAGCATGAGCAAATAAATCCATGACGTCTAATCCCACACCCAGTACAAGTGTCTCCTTTCCTGTGGTTACAGTCCGGAGTTCTCACTACATTGATTTATTCTAATATTATATATCATAACAAAACTGGCTGATCGTAGGAGTGTTTCTTAGAATTTGGTCACTAAGTAGCATTCATTTAACATCCATCTCAAGTAGAACTAGGAGCAAAAGCTGAGACTGGTGTCTGTTTGTTTCTTTTGCATCTACCCCCCTGCAAATGCCATGAATGACTTGTTGATCCTGCCAGACCTGTGTTCCCTTCCCTGCTTCTTTTTCTAGGGTGACAACAGCTTGTCTGGCTCCTCACGTGGAGTCACTGTTTGGCTGATTTTCAGCCCAGCTCTTTCAACAAAAGTAAATTTAAAAATGTACATTTGTGGAGCTGAATGGTGCCAACGGGGCCAACCACAATGGCCAAGTCAGTCAGAAATGTGGGCAGTGTATGGCTAGATTAAAGGAGAACTATGGGATTAGGGCTTTTCCCCATAGTTCTCCTTAGGGTGACGGGAGGACACAAACTAGCGGCCTCCCGTCACCCAAAGCTCAGTATACCGCTAGCTACAGCTCGTGGTATACTGAGACGCCGCAGCCGGAATGGATCCCGACAATTATGTCTGGATCCACCAAGCTGTGTGACAGCTGTCTCTGCCTATCCATTTCAAGTGTCATTCTTGCTGTCTCTATAGTTTTCCCTTTACAGTTCTGTGCCTTTGCTAATGACATTCATTTGGAAGTGATATCTTGATATTAACAGGTTGAGAGTTGTAGAGCTGAACGTTTTGGATAAAAATAGAGATATTGATCATGCAATCAATGGTCACATATTATGGGGATTGATTTTTATTTATTTTTAGACCTGGTTTGAGCTCCTTTGCCATATCTTCCTTGTTTGTGCCCAGGATTGTCTCATATTTGCTCTTGTTGGCAGCAGACTTGCCCCCTCCTTCCTCTGCATTCCAGGGGCCCACTATAATGGGAAATGGCTGCAATTGTTAGAGGCCCTAAGAGAGCCATATCCAGAGCAATTGTGACTGAGCTGTGTACACAGAGGAGATGCTGTACCTGTGCCAGGAAAACCCAGCGCAAACCATAACATGCTCCAGGAATAGAGGAAACTGCTCTGATTTCCTCTTGGCTCTGCTATTCCTTCTTTATATCCTAATGGAATAGTCCTGAATAAATAAAACGTTTATATTCTTTACAACAACAAGATTGTGTTGGCCGTGGTACTTCCATGCAACGCTGCTAGGCTTTATTTTTCTTCTAATAGCAGCTTGACGTAGTCTGTACTGTCCTTGGCCGGCCTTAATGGCTGCATTTTAAAACCTAATTAGAGAAACCATTCCTGTATCTGCTGCAATCAGGGAGGCTCAGTGTCTCAAGATAATTGAATTTTTTTTTTTCTCTACAGAGACACGCAAGTGCAGAAAGTGCACAGACCATGTATTATTCAGATGACTAAAAATAAAGCCCATTACTTTACTTTGTGGGATATGAAGCCTGTACTTTACCCGGGCCGGTCTGTTACCAGTCTGGTACATATCTACCACCTCCAGAATGAGCAGCATATCACTATACATCACACACACTTATCATTGATCGCAAATGCATCATACATTCCTCTATAAAGTGTTACATTTATGGATACCCTCTCATTAGGCCTACAGCAAACACTCAGATTAGGTTCTAACTGTCCTTCTTGTTTAATGTTGATGCATTGTCCATGTTTTTATAATTTGGCATTGTAAATTGTGTGGTACAATGCTGGAAACTCTTCTGTATTCCATATTTCTCTGGTCTCTGTTGTTATATATTTAATGATGCTGTCAGTAGAGGACTAATGGCATAACATTTTATTTCAGGTGTAGATGAACTAACAATCATCAGCATTCTAACAAACCGGACCAGTGATCAGAGACAGGACATCGCATTTGCCTACCAAAGGAGGACCAAGAAGGTACATTGTTCTCCATGGCATGTCATGATATGATATGATAGGATTAGGAAGAACATTGACCTTATCTCAGACTGTATTAAACAAGCATTAGCACTACAAAGGAAATTAAGCGTAGATTAGGTAATCTTATTTTGGGGAAGGGACTTGTTGATTGAGCAGGTAAATAAAAAGCTTTTAGTGTCACCTGTCATCACCAGGCTAATTATTACACAAGCCTGATCATACATGACTTTCTCTTTAGGATCTCCCCTCCGCACTGAAAGGTGCCCTCTCTGGACATCTGGAGACTCTGATCCTTGGACTGATGAAGACACCGTCTCAGTATGATGCTTCAGAACTGAAATCTTCAATGAAGGCAAGTCACCATACATCAGTGCTATTAAGGTTTACCACCCAGCAGTTACTTTATGCATTCAGCCTTTTATTTGTGTAAATCCGACATGTAAAAGTGAACTCTTCTGGGAATTTTTCAAAGCACTATGTATATGCTACTACTTTATACTGTAGTTGCTTGCTGCTTTGTACTGTAGTTGCTTATACTGTAGTTGCTGCTACTTTATCCATTTGTCTCATCTTAACAAGTGTTCCTGCGTGTGTGTACAAGATCAGTGGAGTTTTTTTTAGAAATGGAAGCCCGTAATATAAATGGCCAACCAACCCTCAATGAATATTTCATCTGTAGTTTGGAGTCTGCTAAGCCACCTATTGAATTGTCACATCTGTCAAGGACTTCAATAAGGAAATCTTCCCACTGTTGATCATGGCTCCTTCCCCCACTCAGCTTCCTTTTCTGGGTGATCACACCCCATTTACTTCTAGAGAATAAGAAATGGAAAAAAGTCCAACAGAGAGAGTGTGGGATTGCCATGGCATGTATGCCGTGTAGGAACTGTAGCACAGAGACCTTTACATCAGAGTACCTGAGCACTCTTAATTAGGGTTCTGGTAGTTAAGCCCTCTAGATTTTAATGGACTGCTTCTTTTTAATATTTATTAGCGTTTTCTAGCATACATCTATCTACTGACATTTCACCCTGACATTTCACAATGCTGGACATATGTTTGGCCCTTCCCTGCATAACATGGTGAACATTAGCTGAATGAGCTTACTGTGTCAAAGTATCAAAGATAGTCTAAAGAAACCTAAAAAAGAGAACCGTATTATGTGTAGTGCTAAGCAGTAATATTTATTTGGAGATTTGTTACACTGTTTTTTGGTATACATTTATCTTTGCGGTGACGGCATTTTTCTGCAGTAATTCATCTGGGGGCCATTCACACCACTGCAGTGCATTAGTGCACGTGCGTTAATGCGGTTCATTCATTTGTATGGACTTCCTAAGACACCAATAGGGTGCATATACCGTTTCTGGCAGAGCACCACAGTGAATGTTGGGGCGCCATGTAACATGCATTGCCACGTGCTGCTCTAACACATTACAGCAACGCAATAGTGTGAATGTGCCCGTAGAGAAGATTTTGAGTTACACAATGAAAGCTCGTGCTGCATTATATTATACCTTTTTGTGATTATTTTTAGTTTTTGAATATATTTCTAATTAAATGCTGTTTTCTAATTTTTAGGGCTTGGGTACAGATGAAGACACACTCATTGAAATTATCTGCTCTCGAGATAACAATGAACTACACGCAATCCAGGCTGCATACCGAGAGTGTGAGTGTTGGCAAACTCTGCGCTAACATAATTAGAACAGACATATGTTATGTGATTAATACAAACAGGAGGATAAAAAGGTGAAAGCCGTGCCAATACAAGCGCCTCATTCCATCTGTCTTTATTCTAGCGCAGTTAATATAATGAAAGTAAACATTTCAACTCTCCTTTATTATTTGAATAATCCTGTCCCTATGGCTGTCACCCCATCTTCTAACAGCAGACCATTCACATTACTGAGCTAGGATTAGTGTGACACCTAGTGGTATGTAGATGGAAGTACACGTCTTGTGTAGACATATGACTCGGGAATAGAGTTCCCCCAAGTGTTTATAATGACCAGAATGGGTTTTTTTTCTGATCCAGTATACAAGACCGACTTGGAGAAAGACATTGTTTCTGACACATCAGGGGACTTCAGGAAGCTGATGGTGGCACTTGCTAAGGTGAGTGGTACAAGTTGGCCTACAACACATTCTTTTTCATCAACCTAGAACTAGCATGGGAGAATAAAGTAGACTTTAATATATAAAATGTAGTATTCGTATATATGAAATCACACATTCTAAAATCAGCCCATCCATGTGCAGGCAGATTAGGATATACGTATTCACAAGAGGTGAGAGATTTGTAACTACACACCTTTTTGAGGAAACCTTTCACAAGAGAAACATGTGGGCTGTCATTGCTGACCTCTTGCTTGGCTGTCATCTAGAATGCTCAGTCAGTAACCTTGAAGTATTCCGATAAGCACTTCTAAATGGTCTGCTCTCTTAATATCCAGTCCTATAGACTCTTATACTATACAGTTGTTGGCAAAATTAGTTTGTAGCTTTCTATACAGATCCAGTCAGTGTTATACAGATTCAGTTATTGCTAATGATGTGCAAAACAATCCCATCACTAATAAAAGGCAATGTACATGACCAAATCTTTACATAAGAAATCCTGGAAAATGTTTAAAATAGGAGTCTAGATTTGTGTATATAAACACACATGTATAGATCTTACTACATAGGATCAGCACACTGGTCTTACTTGTGTGACATTTTCTAAAGGCTGCGAGTCCTGCATGTCCTTTGTATCTGATCTCACAGGTTTCCCTTTAGCAGAACTGAGCAGAAGCAGGAACATTAATTATTATTGTTTTTGTTCTCTTCCTCCTGGTAAATGAACCCTCTGGTATGTTTGTGTGCAGGGCAAAAGGCAAGAGGAGAGTTCAGTGGTGGATTATGAAAAGATTGACCAGGATGCCAGGGTAAGTAGATTTATATAATGCAGCAATCGTATAGTTTCCTGAAGTGTCAGTATTGTTTTATATCCCTGTAAGTGATATGAGAGGCAGTTGGCTCCCAGTTACCTGCAGCCACATGAACAGACTCTTTATACTGCCCATTGTACAGCCTGTCTCTTCCATTATGACTATCAATGTATCTGCTGATGTACTGAAACCTTTTTTGTATCTTCAGTACAAAAGATTCAGATTTACTTTACAGTTTACTTTTGCAGTATGTTTTTAAGGGTTTCCAATGATATATTAGGCTTTGTAGAGGATTAATAGGTATTCAAAGTTCTGCCCTGATCTAGCAGGACACACATTGTTGTCCACCATTTCATAACATAACAATCAGCACAGTCCACCTAGAGTCAGGACTCTAAACCTTCTGCTATCTCCTATTGTGTCACAGGAACTATACGAGGCTGGAGTAAAGAGAAAGGGAACCGATATAAGCAAGTGGGTTACAATCATGACAGAAAGAAGCATTCCTCATCTACAGAAAGGTATGGCATTGTTATAAAGCTTTGTTCATCATTAACAGTATTTCTCTGAAGTATGCTGCCAATTGAGGAAACTATATAATGTTACATAGTTACATAGTATTTGAGGTTGAATAAAGACATTAGTCCATCAAGTCCAACCTATTAGGATCTCATTCTAGGAGTACCTGTACCCCTGTCTATGACGGTCCCTTAAGAAATCGTCCAAAAGTTTCTTGAACAATTCCACATTATTTGCTGAAATCACCGCCTGTGGCAGTGAGTTCCAGACCCTAACTGATCTTACTGTGAAGAACCCCCTTCGCCCCTTGTGCTGGAATTTTTTTTCCACCAATTTTAGGTGGTGGCCTCTAGTTTTTGTAACGGAGTTAATTTTAAACAGTTTATCGCTAATGTTGCTACCACCATTGAACATTTTGTACATGGAGATCATTTCCCCCCTTAATCTCCTCACCTCCAATGTGAACATGTTTAAATTTAGTAGCCTCGTCTCGTAGCTCTGGTCCTCCATACCCCTAATTAGTTTGGTTGCCCTCCGCTGGACTTTTTCCAACTCAAGGACATCTTTTCTTAGTACTGGCGACCAGAACTGGACCGCGTACTCCAGATGAGGTCGAACCAATGATCTATAAAGTGGCAAAATTATAGACTTGTCCCTGCAATACATCCCCTTTTTAATACAGGACAAGACCCTGCTAGCTTTGTTTACAGCAGCCTGGCACTGCAAACTACCTTTCAGTTTGTGGTCTACAATGACCCCCAAATCCTTCTCCATTTCTGACTTCCCCAGCGGCATACCCATAATTGTATAACCCATTTGTTTATTTTTAATTCCAAAGTGCATTACTTTGCATTTATCGACATTAAACCTCATCTGCCACATTAATGCCCACTATGTGTAGGAGTAATTGCTTAAAGCCGAACTCCAGGCAAATAGCATAACCCACACTTAATATATATTTGTGAATCAACTTACCTGTCAAAGGATTTGTAATTCTGGTCAGCCATTCCTGTGATTCGGGCACCCCTACCAGACAAAAGCGTCCCGTCTTCTCTGTAGTTTCCACTGCAACAAAACTTGCCCTGGCTTGCGGCTGGACAATAAAAGAGCAGTAACGCACTTATAAGGTTAATTCCCTCTGTTACTTGGATGACTGTGCAATGCAGTAGAGCGGGGGTAGCCAAACTTTGGTACTCTGGCTTTTGTGGAATTACAATTCCCATAAGGCATTGCAAGACTCAGACAGCAACAGGTATGACTTCCATAGGCAGATGCATGATCAGTCATGACACATGAGTGGATTGGCGTGCTCCAATTGTAGATTGAACCCCCAAGATGGAAGGCACCACAAGGAATCATACAGTACCCTATTGATCAAAGTCTACCCCTGGGGATATCCAAATAAGCCCTCACACACCTGTACAGGAAAACAATACGTAATGTTCTTTTCTCTATCCCTCATTTGAGAGCTGTCCATTGTACATGGAGGTTGTAAAGGGACCTATGCAGATGTCTTGCTGGCTGTCTTATGTAAAGATCAGGAAAGAAGGCTTCTTATAATACAAAATCTCTTCTCCCCGGAGTTCTGTAAGATCCTGCTTGAGTCGTCTTGTCTGCTGTTCTCTCTGTGCTGTTCTCAGTAGACCGGATTATTATTGATTCATTATGCTGTCTGCAGCATTGGCTGTTAAAGCTGGACTCTGGGCATATATAAAAGACACACATTCATGTAGCTAGGTATTCATGAATACATCATGGAAGTGTTTTTAATGTAACTTGTGTAAGTACCTGATTATTGATTTAGTATCCTGTGCAGCTGAACTGTGACTGGGAGCCCATCAGGCGTTCTGCATGCAATGCATGCTGCCATAGATCAGACTGAGTGGGTTGAGCAGAGAGATGACCTGATCAGTTACTGTCCAGTCAGTAGGCTGAGGTTGGAGGGAGGACACTACTGTATGAAGAGAACTACAAATACTTTAGTGGGTAATACAGCTCCCGTATAATTTACATTTCTATGTTTAGCTGTGTGCTTGGAGTTTAAACAGGTGACATGAATAGTGATACACTGAAAATGTAGACTCCCACATACTTACTCCTGTCATAATATGTTGTTTCTGAGTTGCTTCTTTTTGCCAATGTATAATGATGTTGGTTGTTTCATGTTTAGTGTTTGAGAGGTACAAGAGCTACAGTCCATATGACATGCAGGAGAGCATAAAGAAAGAAGTGAAAGGCGACCTGGAGAATGCATTCATTAATCTTGGTAGGTGGTTTTCTCTGACTTAATCTTCTTTGCTTTCAATAGACCCTTCGCTAGGCATGCAGCCTGGGTGGCCAGAAAAGAAAGAGCAGCAAGCCTGTGGCCCTTTCTGTACCACCAGGCCACATGCCTTTTACAACTGGGGGGGAGCGGGTACATTGCAAGGGAGGGAGGGCCTCAAAGTTGAGGGACAAGGGCGTCTTCCCTACATCTGGTCTCCCTAAAAGGATGAGGTGGTTATTGGTGGGACATATAGGGAAAGTGAAAGTCCCCTTTATTATAAGGGGTCTGCAGGATATACAACACCTGCCAGGGGCATGAGTGCTGGAGTGCATTAGCAAGTCTTACCCATCCTCACATCTAAGAAGAACCCCTATAATTACATGAAACATACAATTGAAAATAAAGTGAATCCATTGTCAATGACATCTTCCAGCTATATAAATCCATCATCAATCACATAGACCAGAGATGTAAAACCTTGTCAATCATGACGACTCGACGGCCACTGACATTTACCCGTGGCACACTCCCATTGCTAAATGACAGATGTATCACAGTCTAACAGTGTGTGGGTTTAGTTTACCTAATGTTCCAGTCCTATAGTAGCCAGCTTGAGATTTCAGTTTAACCAGCATGTGGTAACCTCTCCTTTTATGTTTTTCTTCTTACAGTGCAGTGTATTCAGAACAAGCCTCTGTATTTCGCTGACAGGCTGCACGACTCAATGAAGGTAAAAGCAATATTCACAAAAAATAATGAAGCATTTCAACGAGGTATTTCGGTCTCCTCAGAAAATTGTGACAGTTCTGTTTCTTGGAGGGAAGGTTTCTTCCACTCTGCAAAATGTAAATAATTAAAGGAGAACTTTGGGGCAACCTTTTTTGCCCAAAGTTCTCCTCTAGGTCAAGGGAGGACATATACTGTGTCCTCCCGTGACCCAAAACTCAGTATATAGCCACAATTGCTAGGAGGCCCAACCAAAATTAAAAGCTGGGGAACTGCGTGCAGGTCAAGAGCTGCCTGCAGAATCACATCACTCTCCACCAGAGTTCGGTCTGTTAATCTGCAGTGACACAGGAAGTTTGAAGGTGAGGAGCCAAAGAAGGAGCTGGAGAAAAAGATTCAGTTTGTATCCTTGAAATACAACTCACTACACCTACACGCCTGAAAAGCAAACTACCCCGGAGTTCACCAAGATTAACAAACATTTCCCTACTTTGGAACATAGGGGCCACCATCATGCTGATGAAGGCTTTTTACCCCAGACTTTGCAGGTGGCCAGAGAACTAGGTTTGGACATGCATACTCCAGGAGTAAAGGGAAAAAAAATTGGTGTAGATTTGGCAGACCTGTCTTTAGACTTCTAGAGGTGGGTTCTCTTGCCTTCAGGGATATCTTGATAATAATGTGATGGGTCAGTCCTAAGAGACATTGTCCCTTTTAAAGACCATGTCTTTAGCAGCTTCTTTTAACTGTAGAGAAAATGCAGAACACTGCAACTCTTTAAGGATGATCATGACATAAAGCCACGAGGGCTGTGTTCAAGGCATGGGAGTGTCCTTAAAGCATCTGCAGTCAAAAGCAGCAAGAAACTGAGTGGACTGGGCAACAAAGTATTGCATGAATGTAGTAGAGAGCCCTGCCAATAAGGAAGGAGACTCAGCCCTACCTGGCAGAGCTAGGGAGGATTCTAGTCCCAGTCCCGTCAGATAACTCCTTCCTCTGCGAATTTTAAAGTCGCCTAACGAAACAAATGAATTTAGGTAGTTCCTGGTTCTCAAGCTTAATGGCTTACTTACATAGTGGGTCATCAGAGACAGGGCAAGTGCTGAGGCAATGCCAACAACTCTGGACCTGAAAAGTGCTCCATAGTTACCTTGTTTCCTAGAAGATGGTCTGGAAAGCACCTTGTGAAGAACCTAGTGCAGGTGGCCACTACCAGGCTAGCCCCACATTGGTCCAGTCACAGTATAAAAGGCAGACTGAGGACAAGCTGTACTGGATTTTAAATTTTAAAGATCAGCTCTAGAAGCAATGTAGAGAAGAGTCTTGATTGAAGAAAATTAAAATTCCAGCAAAATTAGGTTAGAGACCCAGCAGAGCTGAAGAAAAGACAACCATCCTCCGGGGACACTAGGAAACACAACTGGGGCATGCTGGTAGTAGGAGGGCTTGTCTCAGACTCGCCTACAATGTTTTTGGCAGCCCTCCTGTAGGCAATAGTATAACCCCAAGTTGAAAGACTTCCAATGGATGAAAAAGAAGTTTCATTTATGAACTCTGAACAGAATGTATATTCTAGGCTTTTGTTTTGTGAATTATTCTTGAAATAACCTGTAACTTTTTGTTTGCTAGGGCAAAGGCACCAAAGATAAAATCTTGATCCGGAATATGGTGTCCCGCAGTGAGGTAGATCTGCTTAAAATCAAGTCCGAATTTAAGAAGAAATATGGCAAATCTTTGTCCTACTTCATTTCAGTAAGTATGACACAACATTGTATCTTCGATGTGACATCTCATGTGCATACTGTAGGACCAATGGCAGCTGACTAGAGGTCATGGTGCCCATGCAATACCTCGCTTCTGTCACAGACTGCAGGACTAATGTGGGTTTATAATAAGGCAATGGGCATATCTATTTGAGTTGTTGATAATGAAACATGGCTTCTGTCTTCTCCTGAAGGTGCCCACACACCTTACAACCATCGCAAGACTTTTGTCTTGCGATGGTTGTAAGCTAATTAAAAGCTCGTACGATTTGCCCATCTTGGAAAGGCAGATCGTACTTGCGATCATCGAAAGCACTCCCCGCTGAGGGGCGGGCTTCCGATGACCGCAATGCTGAACGGGCATTGTGCGCACATCGGCCCGTTCGGCAGTTGTCGAACGAGCACACCACTAACCCGCCGACAATCGTACGATTCTCGGCGGGTTTTTTAGCATGCTCCTTCGACAAAAGACGAGCAAGCGTACAGTAGAAACGGTCGCACACCTTCCATACACCTTGCGATTATCATACGATCGCGGGATTTCCCGCGATTATCGTACGATAATCGCAAGGTGTATGGGCACCTTGACACTATAATTAAATTAACGTTAAAATTGTATGAAATGTCCCAGAATGAAGTAAGAAGGCGCAGACAAACATTAAGGGCCTGTTCACACTTAAGGGATCTGTTGTGGCTTGTTTACCCACAAATAGGTCCATCGGTCCCTTGTGGTACAAAGCATAGAAGACCAATTTTGTGAGTAGTGGTCAAAGGTAGATCTGTGCAATTAACAAAACTCACATTCCCTGCTCATTGCAGAACTCTAGCTTTGATCTGGCAAGGTTGTCTGAGTGCTGCTTACACATCCGTTACCGCAGTCTTCTGCTGTGTGGCACCATGGGCTGAGGTTTTTATGCTGCTGTTGCATGCAAAAATATGATCAAAGGACAGTAACATATTGGACAGTATACATTTGCCTCCACCATGTATGTATGTATGTATGGCATACAGCGTAAGACTTCAGTTGTAAGCATTTTGAAGTGAACATTTTGGAACTTGGTGTGGACATCGCCTCATACGTCACAAGTTTGATAATCTTTGTGTGTTGGAATAGATCTTATAACAAAGATAGGAACAGGTTAAAAAATATTTTCTTTTTAACATTATTATTTGTCTTTGCAGCAAGACACAAAAGGAGACTATCAACGTGCCTTGCTAAACCTGTGTGGTGGAGATGATTGAGCTACGTATTATTCCTGCTCCCCCCGATTGTAAGATGCCTTACTGCTTATCCTGACCATAGTCTGCCCCGAGATCCCTCCGACCTTCTATCCCCATGTTGCCTGGCTGCTCCTCTCCAGTGTACTGACCAAATACACCGCTACTATCTAAATATATGTATATTTTTTTTCTGTAACCTGTCTTTGTGTGGTTTTTGAGAGTTTGGCCTTCTTGCGACTGAGCATCTTATAAGGTTTTTCATGACTGCAACGTAATAAAGTGATCTTACTTATCAAGTCCATTTCATAAACATAGAAAGACAACACCGAGTGAGCAGTCTATGTATGTAGCCAAGAATGAACCATGGAATGACCCAATCCTACTGAGTGCAGTGTACTGCTTCTATACCATATATAATGCCAAGCATGTGCTCAGATGGAATTACATGGAGCCAAATGAGATAGACAGAAATGATGGTTGCATTTCCTAAGGGCAGGAGAGAGAAAACACCTTCAGGTTAAAATTAGCAACACTTTCTTGCTTTGCTCCAATTGTAACACATCAGAACCTTTTTTTTTTTATTTATTTTTTAAACCCAGTTTACACAAGTACAATGACTGAACTTGTATTTAAAAGGAAAAACAAATTGGTGCGTGGTGTGGTGTTGGGTGGAAGATTGTTATTGGTGTGGAGGATCCAGTGCTTGCTAGCACTCTGAATGGTATTTTGGGTGCCAACAAATGTGGGGGGGGAAAGTTACATAATGGCCACCACCACTCGAGTCTCCCCACAGAAACCTGAAAATCTCACAAACTTGCAATGGGAATAGCTTGGAGACCATCACGGACCTAAGGTCTCGTTCACACCTAGGCGTATTGCATATGCGCGTCTGTCGCACATTTTTTTACAGCGGTTCGCGGTAAAAAAAGTCACGCGTTTCCGAAGGCTACTTGGCTGTATCCCAATGGAAACGCGCAACAAAACGGCCCAAAGTAGTACCTTTTCAGACGTGGCCCGTTTTGTAGCGCGTTAGGGACGGTCGGTAATACGCCAAGGTGGGAACGAGACCATTGAATACAATGGGATTTATATTTTTGAGTGTTTTTGTAGAGCGTTCGTCGAGCGTAGAACGCGCTACAAAACATTCGTGTGAACGAGGGTTAAAAGTGCTAGTTTCATAATTCTGACCCTTTTTGGATTTGATACATTGACTCGGTGATCTCAAACAAGTATCCAAATCATGGAAAGCAGAAGTGCTAATGCCAACAACTTGTACAGTCTTCTTAACCCCTTCGTGACAGGAGACGTACACTGTACGTCCCGCCACAAAGTGCCCAAATGACTCGTCTCGTACTCTGTACGTGATGAGTTATTTGCTGCTTTACAAGGCTGGTAACCGCTGAGAATCAGTGGTTACCATTCATTAATGGATGCGGTATAGAGGCATCCATTAATGAAAGGGTTAACCTTTTTCTGATGCGAATCGGGTGTCTGAGAGTGAGAGCAGAGCCACATTTGCAGCTCTTGCCGCCACTCTGACAGCTGGTTTAGATCATGGAATCCCCATGTATACCGGCTTTTTTTTCTTTTTTTTTTAACTTTCAAGAATAGAAACATAATGTAGCTTCCTGAAAGAATGTTGCAGTTTTCTGATCGTTGTTGTAACGATCAGAAAACCTTCAGTGACATCTGACCCAGAACTGCTGCAGGATCAGTGTCACTAAGGTTATTATTGGCTGTTCTGAAGTTTGAAGCAGCCTAATAATAACCACAATTTAATTTATCAAGCAGTAATAGTGAGATTAATTCACAATGACTGCTTGATATAATTAAATTAATATAGTAAGAAGTGTAAAAAAAATAAATAATGTAACAACTAAAAATAAATGATATTTAAATATATTTTTATACTATCATTTACATAATTTTTATATACAAAATTAACCCCTTACAATGAAAATTAGATGTTTTTCACCATAAGGGGGGGTTATTTTTTTTAACCCCCTCATGACAGTGATGTTCAAAGTATGTCTCTGTCACCAAGTGTGACACTGTATGCCAGGTGACCACTTTTAGAGGAAAAAAGATTAAAATTTTAGGTTTCAGTCTGAGAAGTACAGAAAAATGTCTAAAATCCTAGGGATGTGAGGTTTTGCCAAATAAAGGAATGTATTTATTGTATTTTTTTTTTGCTGTGCTGTTTTTGTAAAAAATACTACAAATCAAAACTGTGTTTTCTTTATGTTTTTTCCCTCCTTTTTTTTTTATATTTTATTTGTCCTAAGTGAGGTGTTAGAGCTATATAATTATATCACATATGTGTACCTATCTCTCCTCTAAAAAAACAATATATAATATGTGTGGGTGCACTTTGTCAGAAAGTATATTACTGACATAGAAGAATCACACAGCAAAAATGTAAAAAGTGCTTCATTCATTTACGAACAGAAACGAAAAACAAGCTCAGTCATGAAGGGGTTAAAGAGACACTAAACTGAGTTCAATCTTAAAAAAACATTCAAGTACCTTAACTATTAACAGAAATGTATCTTATTTGTGTATCAGTCGGCTGTAGATCCTCAAATCATCTCTGAATTGGTGCTGACACTGTCCTTCCTTCTGGAGGGTGGCTACTTTTGTTTCCCATGGTCCCTGTGTGTGTTGTAAAGTAGCCACCGCTCCAATCTCACTAATGTGATGGACTACAATCTCATGTTTAGTTTACTAATTTGTACTGAGATTGTTGTCCATCACGGGAGTGAGCTTGGAGTGTTGGTATCACTTTAAAGTATCTAAAGCCAAGAATAGAAATGTTCACCTCTCTAACAGAAATATACCATTGGAAGCATTTTGCTATATCTGTTCCCCGATATAAGAGCAGATTAGAGAAGTCATTTACATACAGCTTAATGATGGGGGCACTCTATAAATTCTGTATCCTAGATGCAGGAGTGCTGTGGACTTGAGGATTATCCTAATCACTTTGTGACACACACTTCTGTCTTATCCTGTATAAGCCAGGAAAATTGCTACACTTAGTGGTAACAGTAATCCCAGCTCTGAAGAACTATCCCAGTGACGGTTTCTACATACAGACAGAATAATATCCAGCAATAAAAAAAAAGAAAATCCTTCCTACACAACAATTGGCTCTGTAGGAAGCAGGTTACAGTCCAGTCCTACAAGATGATGAGCACATCAACAATCCAGTGTACAGACAAATCTCTGCTTACCGATTTCCTTGAACGTGTGCACTCTAGTCCGTTAAGACTAAACATGATGTACTAATCAATCATTTCATAATTCCCCCCCCCTAGAATAATTGTGGATTCTCAGAAGGATAGTGCAGGGGTGAATTGCTTATTATACACTGCATGACCAAAAAAAAAAAGTCACACTAATATTTAATTGGAACGCCTTTAGCTATGATTACGGCACACATTCGCCAGGGCATAGTTTTGATAAGCTTCTGCAATGTCATAACATTTATTTCTCTCCAGAGTTGCATTAACTTGTAGTGATGATGGGAGAGTCAGACCACGGTGTAAAGTCTTCTCCAGCCCAAAGATTCTCAATGGGGTTAAGGTCTGGACTCTGTGGTGGCCGATCCATGTGTGACAATGATGTCTCATGCTCCCTGAACCAATCTTACAATTTGAGCCCGATGAGTCCTGGCATTGTCATCTTGGAATATGTCCAATGTGCCATCATCAGGGAAGAAAAAATCAATTTCTGGAAAAACCTGGTCATTCAATATATTCAGATAGGCAGCTGACCTCATATGTTTGGGACATAACATTGCTGAGCCTAGACCTGGCCAACTCAAGCAACTCCGGATCATAAATCCAGGTGGTGACTTTTTTTTTTTGTGGCCAGACAGTGTAGAGCAGTGGTGGCAAACCTTGGCACTCCAGCTGTGCCAAAACTACAAATCCCAAGATGCATCTGCCTCTGGGAGTTATGTCTGTGGCTGTCAGAGCCTTGCAATGCCTCATGGGACTTGTAGTTCCCAAACAGCTGGGGTGCCCAGGTTCATCATCACTGGTGTAGAGTGTCTTGTCTCGTATCAGGAACACACATATAGTGAATGTTTCTCACAATGGAAGTAAAAGGTATTTTAACTTTGCCAGCAGGGTTGATGTAAGATTTCAGTGAGCATATATCAAGGTTTCATTATTAATTCAGGACAGAATTCGGTGTATATTTGGGATGAAGTGCTTTCAATCGAAAACAAGTGTTTTGCAGAGCAAATATCCTTCTAGTGTCATGTGACTATATCACATGGTACCAGACGGACCCTCTGCTGCCAACGCTCCTTCTAGGCTGCATCTTGTGAACACAGCACCATGTGACCGGAGTTTTAGAAAAACCTTTATGGCACTTTCACAATGTATTCTTATGGGTCGTTTTATGTAATCCTGGACTGCTGATTTCTGAAAATATTAGTTCACTGGCTGTCATGCTGATCTTACAGCATTAATACACAAGTCATTGACTTGGCATAAATATACAGATCAGGGGTCTGACTTTTCTATCTGCTTCATGTATGTCAAACCATACATTTTGTTCCAGTTTATAAACCTCTACCCCCTTATCTGTACTTAGGAGTTACCCCCTGCCTTTCTCTTTTCTTAAGTTTTGCACCTTGGCTAACAGAGTATTTAAGCAACCAAAATTCCACCTGCAGCTAACTGCAGACCATCGCCCACTACACCCGTGGCAAACAAAAGAAACCAGACATCTAAAGACATAGTCGCGCTCTTGAACAACTGTGGCGAAAAACTAGTCTTCTGCAAGATTTCACCTTGTATAAAGCTGCCCTCCTAAAATATAATTCCTTCCTCCTTGCTGCCAAACAGACTTATTTTGTCACTCTCTTCCAAACCTCGTCAACTCTTTTCTTTTCCACTTTTAACTCTCTACTATGTCCCCCACCATCACTCACTTACTTCAAAAACAAAATAGATACAATTCAGGATCAGATCATCACTGTGCAGTCACCTTCCCCTATTCATGTACCAGACCCACCTCACCACTTGCCCCCTGGACCCTGTTCCCTCACCACTACTTCGGTCACCCTCTTGATCTATCCTATACTATCCTCATACTCCACATTTTCAATCTCTCACTCTCTACTGGAATCTTTCCCTCCCCCCAAAAGCATGCCCTGGTCACCCCAATACCCAAAAAACCATCAATGGACCCTACCGACCTTAACAATCTCAGACCAATCTCCTTACTCCCATTCACCTCCAAACTCATAGAACGCCTCGTCTACAACCGCCTGAGCCGCCACCTCGCTGATAACAACCTTCTCGATCCCTTACAGTCCGGCTTTCGCCTCCTACACTCCACTGAAACCGCCCTCCTAAAACTCACTAATGACTTAATAACAGCTAAACACAATGGCCACTATTCCTTACTCTTGCTATTAGACCTCTCTGCTGCTTTTGACACTGTGGACCACCTGCTCCTCCTCAAAAAACTCCACTCACTTGGCCTACAAGACTCTGCTCTCTCATGGTTCTTCTCTTACATATCTAAGCGCTCCTTTAGTGTCATCTACAAATCTAACTCCTCCCCTCCTCTTCCTGTAGGGGTCCCCCAAGGCACTGTCCTTGGACCCCTTCTCTATCTACACCTCCTCCCTTGGTCAGTTCACCTCACATGGCTTCCAATACCATCTCTATGCCGATGACACTCAAATCTACCTCTCTACTCCGCAACTCACCCCCTCAGTGTCGTTGCGTGTCACTAATCTACTAACTGACATATCAGTCTGGATGTCACAACATTTCTTAAAACTCAACTTTTCAAAAACGGAGCTCATGATATTTCCTCCCGCCCGTGCACCTTCCCCCAACTTTTCCCTTGAGATTGATCACACAACTATCCAACCCTCCCCCCCCCTACGCCAAGGTGCTAGGTGTCACCCTGGACTCGGACCTCACCTTTCTTCCCCAGATCCAAACACTATCCAAATCCTGCCGCCTTCACCTTCGTAACATCTCCAAAATACGCCCCTTCCTCACCAATGACACCGCAAAACTACTCATACACTCGTTATCTCTTGTCTTGACTATTGCACCTGCCTCCTCATTGGCTTACCTCTACACAGGCTACCCCCCCCCTGCAGTCTATCATGAATGCAGCTGCTAGACTCATTCACCTAACCAACCGCTCAGTGTCTGCAAACCCCTCTGCCAATCCCTGCACTGGCTTCCAATAGCCCAAAGGATAAAATTCAAAATATTAACAACCACTTACAAAGCCATCCACAACTCTGGCCCCGGGCTATATCTTCAACCTGGTCTCAAAGTATCACCCTAACCGTCCCCTCCGCTCTTCAAAAGACCTCCTGCTTTCCAGCTCCATCATCAACTCCTCCCATGCTCACCTCCAGGACTTCACTAGAGTCTCTCCCATCCTATGGAACTCTCTACCCCAACCTGTCCGTCTATCTCTCACTCTGATAAGTCTTTAGGCGTTCCCTAAAGACTTATCTCTTCGTGGAAGCCTATCCCACCTCACCCTAACCACTGAACAATCACTTTCTCAAACAATCATCCCCGCACAGCTACCTCCTCATGTATCACTTGCCCCTCCCTTTTAGAGATTGTAAGCCCTCAGGGGCAGGGCCCTCCTTACCATCTTGTCTTGAATTGTATTGTAATGTCCTCCTTATATTGTAAAGCGCTGCGCAAACTGTTGGCGCTATATAAATCCTGTATAATAATAATATGCTTGTTTCAGATTCGTGACAAAGTAGCATTAAACTCTCAAACTTTTTTTGTAAAAATCAAACAAATAGACATTGCCCAACAAAGCATTGCTTCACATTTTTGTCCAAACACGTATAATCATCATGTTTCTGAACAGCTCCAACTCTCAGCTATACTTCCCTGAACTTCCTGTCCAGTACAAGATCACAAGGGAGAGCACAGTCTCCAGCAGCTGTTCAGGTACTAGCTTGCTGTTTCCGTTTGTTTGTGGGGAGACACACACAGCTTACTAGCAAACACAAGGGTGGCTCCATAGGACCCTGCAAGGGAAAGGAGTCACCCTAAAACAGGAGCTCAGGACCAGTGCTCAGGGGGCCAACTGATTCTGCAGGAAACTACATTTTAAACAAAGGAGCAGCACCTATTTAAAGTTATTTAATCAGCATTAGGTTAAAATTCTTTTCTCTTTTGACATTACTTTAAGATATCGAAACAAGACAGCTTACCAGCTAACTAGAACTTGCAGAAATTGGTCAGCAATGGCCGCCTCCATCTCTCTTTAGGCATAGGTTTTCTTTAGGTACGGAGAATTTCCCAGTTACAATCATGTGAAAAAGAAAGTACACCGTCTAGTTTTAAACATCAGGACATAACAAAAATCATCTGGTCCTTAGCAGGTGAATACAACCTCAAAAGAGCAACACCACATGACATCTTACACTGAGGATACTTTTGTTTTTACATGACTGTAGGTACTATTTTCATGTCTTGATATTATCATGCCTTGATTTCCACTTAAAAAACCACTTCAGGTTAGAAGATTAACGTGTGCTCCACCAGTACAATATCTGCAGAAATGTACAAAAAGGGAAAGATATCAGCCTACCAAAGTGATATTTCAGTTTTGGGTGGGTAAAGGTGGGCTGAATTACCAGCTCTCTCTCAACAAGTTGCAGCTGATCAGTTCTCAGTCATGTTGCTGGGAGTCTCCCATTTCTAGAAGATGTAACATCTCTGAGGATTCTCAGCAGGGCAATGTAACGGTCACAGTAAGGAAGTAGAGCCAAGAAAGTCATCACTGGGATGCTAAGAGGTCTGCTGGTGAGTGAACCAAATGTATCTTGCCAAATATAATTAAACATGCTGGAGGAAATTTATCATAGCAGTTGCGAGTGTTTGAACTTGCACGGAATATATTTGCACCAGATTGATGTTGCTAGTGTAATGTTGTTGATAAATGAGGTTTAATAGACTTCATGAAAGAAGACTTAACTCCAGGCAAAAAGCCTAACTGTCGCATCTTCAAGAAGTGGTCATGGGGGCTTCTTAAGTTGCGATTGTTTTCTTAGGTGATGCTCCAGTTTCTTACAGCCCCAGAACAAGTGCAGATGAAAACACGTGCAAAAAAACATGCAACTGAAAAAGTAATGCAAGCTCTGGTCAAAACCGGTGCAAAACACGTGCAGTTGGAAAAGTAGTGCAAGCTCAGGTGAAAACAGGGGCACATGTTAAAAGACAGATTAGCACATAAAAAACAATTATCCAAGAGACTAAAACTGTTGCAATTGCTTTGATAAATTCCCCCTGCAGTGTTTACCTTGTGTGTAGATAGCAAGGGGAGCAGCAATAGCCCCTTAGCCCTTATGGTTAAATACAAAGCACCATAGGACCTCTGCAGTAATCTGTGATACTTGGATTAGGTGTATAAAAGCCAAATCTAAAACTTTGGTTGAAGCCGGCCATACACTCCTGCTAAAATTCAGTCCGAGGATTGTCCTGTCGGCTTGACAAAAGTCGACTTTTTGTTAATTCTACTTTTATCAAAGGGAGCCACATGGAAAATTGTGGGACCAACACTAACTGTATCCAAGCAGATGCAGTCACAATAAAAATCAAATAAAAAATGGACAGCGTACCAAAGTTATATTTCAGTTTTGGGTGGGTAAAGGTGGACTGAATTACCAACTACTGTTCAGTGTCTGGGTGTTCATCAGCCGGGAGCGCTGCTGACTCCTGAATACAATAACCAGCGGGGCAATTCATTCATCCATACTGTGTAGCTTGAATGGGGGAAATCCAGATTTCTCTCATTTAGCCCTGCGTGCTGGAGGAGAGAAATGAATAATAGGTGTACGGCTGGCTTTAGTTTTACTGGACCCTTGGCCCCCAATGTGAGGACATCCTAGAATGGAGATATCATGCAGTGCTCTGAAAACAGTCATTATTAGCGTCCATCAGAAACGTAGTCATACCAAACCTTTTCTTTATTTACACTGTGTTTAAAAAAAGGGGCAGATGAAAGGATAGGAGAAGATAAAATGTAACACTCACACTGACACACATACAGCAAAGAGGGGCTGAGGAGGTTGTGGTTTCCAGATGTCCCCTCCCCCCATCACTATGTTACAAAGATAGGTAACAGAACATTAAACTAAGACAGTGCTTGCTATAAAATAAGAAATGGGTACAGGAGATGGATAGGACGAGCTTTGTTGACGTTATTTACACGCTTGTATTTACACACCAGGGGTAAGAGGAGGTCTGCTAAGACTAACTGGTGGGGCAGTTGGCAGGAGATTTTCAGTAACACTAAACCCCTTATTCTGTCAGAAAGGATCGGAGCGCCTCCTCTGGCACCAGAAGAGATTAATGAGAGTTAGGCCCAGCCATGCCTCTGCCAATCATCCTTCTCTTTTAGGTAAAAGATCATGTCCTTTGGAAAAGCCTGGACTACCTTCAGTCAGTTCAGAGATGGAGGGCTTCTTTCCCGTATTTATGGTGTTTTAAAAGGTGGTCCATATTTTACTCGGTACTTGTTGATGTCCACAAAGTGTAGGGTCTCTAAGTCCCGGGTGGTGGCACAAGGCACCATACCTTCCACTCCCTCACCCATCAGCCACTTCCTGTTATCGGCTGCCATCTCCCGGCTCACGTGCTCCATATTCCACTTGTTCAGCCATGTTTGGAAGCGTTGGTGCAGTCGTTTGCTGACTTGCTCATGGGACTAAAGAAAACACAATACAAAATATTCTCGGTTATTTTCACAAAGATAACAAACCCAATAAGAACGCACTTTACAAGATACTTCATCACAGTATAATAATTGAAGTTTGCATGCTTTCACGGAAGACAGTTCAGCCAATTCACCAAGATGCCGGAGTTTTTAGAACCGTTTATCTCATCACAATGGTCAGTTCACCGGCATAAAATGAAGAACAGTTTGTGGAATCATCCCACCCCCTTCTCCCATGAAAACCTTTATGTCATGGGTCATTTCCCTACAACCTCAATAGACCGCTCATAGAAAGCAGAATGAATGCAAACTCCAGACAGAAATGTGTTGCTCTGGGTTAGATTTTCCTTTTAACTACTTGCAACCAAATCCCACTTCTAGGCCATTTTTAGATTTCTGCTATGGGGCTTGATGTGGTCTAATGGAAGATAACGCAATACATAAACCCTTTTTCGGTACAAACAAGGCCTTCTCTAGGCAAATAGTCTCGTAAAAATGATTTTATTTTCTATGCAATCTCTAGAGCAGATGGGTCAAACTCAAGGCCCAGGGGCCGAATACGGCCCACTAGGCCATTTCCTAGACTTCTACTTTCAGATCTAGGTATTAAGTTATTACTAAAACCAGTGATAATCGAATGCAGAGGCAATTATGATCAAGATTAGATACATTTATATAGTCTTACAGATACCTTTGAGGTATCTTGATGCGGCCCAAGATTAAATTGAGTTTGACACCCCTGCTCTAGACAAAAACATTTAACTTAGTAGTTAAACATTAAAATAGTGATTGGTAGTGATTAGTGATACTTTCGGTATTCTCTAGATACTCTATTATATCACAGTTAGAAGCAGGTATTGTTTCTACACGGTCGGTATATTGTACATTTTCCTTGATGGCCAGGGTATGGAAAGTTATGAAGGAGGTCATGGGATATGAGGGGTGTACTTCCCTTACACCTATTTGGTACAATCTGGAATTGATAGAGTTGGCCAAGTTGACAGACTTTGATACCTGGATGGATAAAGGTTTACAATATGTTCAACAATTGATGGAAGGCGATGACCTGAAGACATTTCGAACTTTAAGGGAAGAGTTGGGAATCCCCAATTCTCATTTAAATGTTTGCAATTACGACATGCCTTAGAGCCTTGGTTCTCAACTGGTGAGTCGTGACCCAAAAGTGGGTCGTGACCCTGTGTTCAGTGGGTCCCCGTGGCCTTACACTTTTCTAGGTGAGAGTCTCCTCAGCCTCCCCCTAGCGCAGCACTGTCATTTATTGCACCAAGCAGCCATTCAAAATATGCTGCCCGGTGCCAAGTGTCAGCTTGAGCTAGGGTGGGCTCCATCCATATGTGCATTGCTTACAGCTCCATTACATGTCCTGTAGAGGTGCCTGGACCAGTGTGATGTAACATTCTGGCTCTCGGCACCTCTATAGGGCATTCAAAGGAGCTGTACAAGCAATGCACATATGGATGGAGCTTCATTACAGTACAGCAGCCCACACCGGACTCCAGGCTAAGGATCCACTCCAGTTCTTAGAAGGTAGGGAGACTGGGTGGATCTTAAAAAAAGAACAAAATGTTTCGGTTTTTATTAGGAGTGTGTGAGATTGTGTCTGTGGTTGTGTGCTTTTGAGGGCCCATTCACACTAGTCCTGTGCGATTAATGTATTGTACTTCACAATCGCACCTGCCACGTAATTTGGTGTGAGAAGTGCATTGCATTGCCATTCATTTGAATGGCATCCTAAATGCACCTCCCACCCACAGTTCTATTGACCGCATCGGAACGTGCAGTACGTGCTGTGCGTTCCATTGCAGTGCAACTTGGGTCACGACTTAATGACCAAGGACAAATGTGGGTCCTGAGGTTACACAGGTTGAGAACCACTGCCTTAGAGGCTCAGCGCCGAATATGTCCGTTCAGCCTTATGAATACCCCACTGGTACATATAGTAGCAAACTCTAACTAGAAAAGAGTATATATCTAGAGTATATGATATTTTAATAAGGGCCTGGGCCAAAGATAGGACGCTGTCGTGTAGGCGAACATGGGAGGAAGATCTGGGCCCACTTTCCGATGAAGAATTGTCAGCCATATTGGCAAATATCCCTAGATCATCTCTCTCGCCTACCCAGCGCCTTACTCAGTTATTTATAGTTCATAGAGTTTACTATACCCCTCAGAAACTTTTTAGGTGTGGTAGACGAGATACAGGGGAATGCCCTAGATGTAAAGGTACTAATGCCAACCTGATCCATATGTTATGGAGATGTCCCAATTTATTTAGGTACTGGGAAGATATTATTAGATTGATTAACCAAGTGTTTGATATTTCATTGGAGATGGATCCCAGGCTGTGTTTACTGAATTGTGAGGAGGGGGAGGGACAGGATCTGGGGATTGGTGACATTAAAATAATATTGCTGGGCATAGCAAGGAAATTGATTGCCTTTAGATGGTTGTCTCCTAGGCCACCCATATTAGAGGAGTGGTGTACTCAGGTTAACCAAATATTATTGGAAGAAAGAATTATCTTTATACATATAGAGGATGTTTGGGGAAATTTTGGAAGATATGGTCCCCATGGCTTTCTATGTCTGGTTTGGCTCCACTTAGATCACTAAATTCACTTATAGTATAAGTTAATGCTCACTTAAATAAAGATTTGATATATAAGTGATGGGAAAGGGGGGAAAAAAAACACATAAATAAGCAAATGAAATACACTAAAAATATTAGAGCAAGGGGGTAAGGAGGTGAGAAATAATGACTAAAGGGAGGATAAGTAATAGAAATATGCATTATAAATATATATATATAAATTATACACGATAAATATGTGGTAGGGGGTTCCTTGTTTAGATATATGTGAAAATGTTATATATTTTAGAGTAAACACCTGAATAATACACAAAATGAATATGAAACACTAAATATAGAGGTGGAATTGAGGGGGTGTGATATAACGAATAAAGGGAAGATAAGTAACAGAAATATGCAATATATATATATATAAAATAGACACTATAAATGTGTAGTAGGAAGTTTTTTGTTTTGACATAATACAAATACATAAAACAACAAAAATAATATACAAAATTAATTAATACGAAACACTAAATATAGAGGTAGGCTTGAGGGTGTGTGATACAACGAATAAAGGGAGGATAGGTAACAGAAATATGCAATATATATAGAATATACACTATGAATATGTAGTAGGGAGTTTTTTGTTTTGTTTTTACATAATACGGGAGTAAACACCTAAATAATATACAAAATGAATTAATATGAAACACTAAATACGGAGGTAGAAAATATCACAATATAAGTGGGGAGGGTGAAGGGAGTTAGATGTGAGAAGCTAATTTAAGATTTGGTAAACATAATATGAAGACTGTTCAGGGTTGACTAGGAAATGTAAATGTTAAAATATGGACTAAGTTGTGAAAACAGCAGTGTCTTAAATGTGAGTTGTATGTATGTGGATGTATAATCATGTTGTTGTAAATTATTATTATTAATTGTCAAAAATACAATTAAATAAAGGATTCTAAGCTGTCAAAAAAAATAATTAGTGATTGGTTCACCTGCAGTGAATATCTGGTGAATGGCACAAACCATGCTTTATAAATATGCCTCCTTGTGTTAGTGTTGATAGGAAGCGTGGTAATGTTAGTTACAAACGGTAAATGTTAGTTACATTTCGTCATGCAACGCTGCACTGAAATGAATTTTATACCATTTTTTGAGGACAGATAGAGCTTTATTTTGGTGGTATTTAATCACCACTGGGGGTTTTATTTTTTACTATATTCAGGAGAAATTACTGAAAATTTTGAAAAAAAATAAGTTTTTTTTAACATTATGTTATAAAACAACTAATATTACCCACTTTTTTGGTAAAATTTAAAAGTCGGGGTCACGTCGGGTAAATAGACACCAAACATGTCAAGCTTAAAAATTGCGCGCACTCGCGAAAAACTAGCATACCCAAAATTGGCCATAGGCGACGCTTTAAAAGCTTTTACCGCTCACCAGTTTAGTGTTATCAGTGATTGATGGCCCTAAAATGATTGTTCTCACTGGGACGTTCGCGGCGATATGTAACATGTGTGGCATAATGAGCGCAATCGTCGTTTTCGCAGGTATGCGCACCTGACGCATGTTTACATGTGTGTATGTAGCAGTGGGGACTTTAAAAAAATTGGGGGGAAAACTTTAAATCTTTTTTTTTTCCACTTAACTTTATTGCCATCACAGAGGGGGCTGAGAAAGCCCTCTATGTGATAGCAAAATATGTGACAGGTCCTCTTTATTGAGACATCAGGGGTCTCCAAGACCCCTAATGTCACCTAGGACCCCCCTGAAGAAGCTGATGAAGCTGGAGAGTGACACAAGAATGCGGAAGTGATGTAATATACACAACTTCCGCATTCTGACAGCGGAGAGGGGACCGGAGGGAGATCGTGAACCGACCTCTCTCTGATCCCCGGTGACAAAGACAGTATGCTGGTCCCGGGCTCACACCCGAGCCCGGGATCAGCTTGACAGCGGGAGCACGTCACGGACCTCATACAAGCGATCCGCCGGCTCTATAGCCTCTATAGCTGGCGGATCGCTTGTATATTAACGGGCATCGCTGCCTGTTTTCAAATAGCGGCGATTTCCCGCTCGCACGCGCCCAGTTACATCCAAGAAGCTCCCGGCCGGCCGTGTATACACAGCGGCTGGCCGGGAGGTAGTTAAAGAGCAAAGGAACAAAATGAAGAAAAAAATGTTCACATACATACAGACACACACACGCATGGGCACACTTGTTCAACTGCTCATTAATGCAAATATCTAATCAGCCAATCACATGGCAGGAACTCAGTGCATTCAGGCATTTGGACAGGGTCGAGATGATCTGCTCAAGTTCAAACCGAGCATCAGAATGGGGAAGAAAGGTGATTTCAGTGACTCTGAACATGGCATGGTTGTTAAAGCCAGACGGGCTCGTCTGAGTATTTCAGATCTACTGGGATTTTCATACACAACCATCTCCAAGGTTTACAGAGAATGGTCTGAGAAAGAGATCATATCCAGTGAGCGGCAGCTCTCTGGGCAAGAATACCGTGTTGATGTCAGAGGAGAATGGCCAGACTGGTTCAAGCTGATAGAAAGGCAACAGTAACTCGAATAACCAGTTGTTACATCCGAAGTATGCAGAAAAGCAGATGGGTTACAGCAGCAGAAGACCACACCAGGTGCCACTTCTGTCAGCTACCAACAGGAAACTGAGGCTACAATTCACAGGCTCACTAAAATGGGACAATAAAAGACTTTAAAAAAATGCGTCACAGATGGGATGCCCCTGGTTCTGATTGGTGCCAGCACCAGGACAAGAGTCTTAGTAAAAATCCCCCCGACTCCAGCTAAGCCAAAAGTTAGGGCCGCAAATTGGAAGTGAAGCTCCGCAACACTAAAGAACAGAAAGCTATGCAGAGTAGAGATAGGGACATGAAGATAAACATCTGATGCTTTCTGTGGGAGAAATAAAAACTGTATTGTAGCCAGTAGAACCTACCACCTTTACCTAGACGTCCGAGATGTTGTGAAGCCAATGCTAGAAGAATATCAGCAGTCTCCTAGCCCACCTTTTCATGCATTGAGGCATTGCACAGCATACAAGTCAACACTGGTTCAAGTGAAGATCTTGCAGCAATAAGTAACAGTTGAGAAAGGATTTTCATGTCTCGGTCCACTGGGACCTTGAAGAAGGGGTTAAGTCCACATGAAAAATGTCCCTTGCTGTGAGGATGGTAATTAACTTGCAGAAGAGAATTAGGATTATGCAATTGTGTGTTGCTTGTTGTCAGGGTTGATGTCAAACTGAAATGTGTTATTGCAAGAAAACTAACATACTGATGTCGCTAAGCTTGGTCTGGGCAACTAAAAAAACAAAACCTCTGGTCCAAAATGGCTAAAGGAGACACAATCTGCAATTGGGATGATTGTTGCCTTGCTGAGGTAGGACACCGGTCGATCTACTGCAGGTGATGCCAACCACTTCTTTAGCGGAGGTGAAAAGTGTCCTACACAGCTGGGGACACAAAAGGCCTTGCCCGTGTGTTACCAAATCATCAGGTGATTGGGTCTCAGAAGTGTAACTTTTTAGCAGTGAGCTTGCTTTTTCCAAAACAGATCTTAGTAGATGTGCTACTGTCAGTTAAGGCTGACTCCTCAGGTCTGAGCGTCTCCAGCCTGCCAATTATCCCCTTAAGGTGAGCAAATTTGTCTTCATGGAGCCTACTATTGCTAAGCAATCTATGTGTAATGAACAAAGCTGGGGAACTCCAAGAAATGCTATTATTCTGAATCAGAGGAGACACGAATAGGAAAGAGCCTCTTAAAAGTGCCCCTGTGGGCTGGGTGTACATCCACAGACTTGACTAATATCTTAGACAGTTGAGTCAGGAACCCCTTCAACACTGGAGGTAATTGCCAAGACGCATTCCCCATTGCCACACTTTTAGTCTCTACTGAAAGTTCATCGGTGGCCATTGACACTCTTTATTCAAAGGAGGACTTTCAAGAATCACAATAGTGGCATTGGCCTAGTTAAATGGCCCATACCTTCTATTGGAACTCATCACCAACACTGAGGAATGACCAAATGTGAATGCAGCAATCAATAGCCAAGGTTTGCTGACCATGGTATGAGCTGAACATATAACAAAAAGCAGAGGCTACAGTGAACCTCAAGTTTGGAGGGTACGGTATGACACTGGGTAGGTGGAAGATTACGCATTCACAGAGGCTGTAGTGGATATTCCAGGTTTTAGTGTCAAGCTTAGACACGCATTCAGGTGGCTGTGGAAATGATACTTTCTGGGAATCTGGTGTAACACTGAAAACAACGTGAAATCTTCATTCTTCAACCATCAGAGCTGGCTGGTTGGACACTTAAGCTAAATGGAGGCTGGCTGGTTGTACAGTATAGACCTGGGAGTATAGAACACAAGGAGGAGTTTAGTCTTCTGCATTCCTAGTGTCTCATCTTCTAGTGGCATAGCATATACCTTAGAGGTCTAATGTGTCCCCTCGTAAATGCTAAAAAAAAATAATGCCATTTATCAATCTTTTTCCAATTTTAGTAATTCAATTTTAGTAATTGCTGAGGCGTTTAAAGATAGCTTGCGGTCTCCACTCCTACCTGTTGTGCCCTCAGCAGGGCAGTGCGACGGTACATGTAGTCTTCAGATTTGATAACATACACCATCTTGTAAGAGTTGAGCTTGAATTTGCACTGCAGCTTGTCCAGACTCTCTAGATTCTCCAGGTTCCGCTTGCCATTGCCTTCCTTCTCCTGCTGTTCGCGTCCCCTTTGGCATTTCCGGATTCTGCGCAAGTTCCTGTTATACATAAAGTTGTGGGCCAAAGGAAAATAAGCAAGTATACGAGCTTTATGCATTTATTGTTCGTATTCATGGGATGATGCTTCTATAAACACTTCATACACTTTGTTTAATGCAAAGCACAGAGAACGTGGTGTACAAAGTTTACAAATCAGTCTTTGCAGAAATCAGTAAATTCTGCACACTGAAAATCCATATTATAGAATTTTCCCAGCTACCTTCACTTCAATCTGAATGTTTTTTTACTAAAGGAATAAAAAAAAAAAAAAAAGCTATTGTTTTGTGTATATGCAATTCTTATGGATATTTTATGTGAATGTGTGCAAGTATTAGTTTAGATCTGGAGTAATCCATCTCATACTGGAGACTTAAGCATCTTTCATGTAATCAGTCTACATGTCACTTATGTGGATATCAAACACACTTATCAGCTTGGGACACTTTTTGTGTTACAAAAGAAGCTGTACAAGTATTTTAGAACAATTATCGTATCCAACGTGCTGACGTTGGTTCTAGACCTGGTTCTAGACAATGACATTTGTTTTTACCTTGTTTGTTGTTTTTACATTGTTATAATAATAATAATAGTGTTGCATATTGTCAAATCATTATATATATATATATATATACACATACAGTATTTGCCGGGTATACTGTATGTAGCTTCGGCTACATACAGTATACCGCGCTGAGCTAATCACGGCAGGTTTTGTATTCTTTAATACAAAGCCTGCCATGATTAGCTCAGCGCTGAGCCAATCACGGCAGGCTTTGCATT